CCCCCCCAAAATATTTCATTTTCAGTGTAAGCTTGTAGATTAATATAATTTTCATCCCCCGGCTGTCTAGACGTCTCCACGTGAGTATCGAAAACTACTTACCCCGTATTTTGTTAACGTGTAGCGTTGAGGAAATATGTCAACTTTCAAATGTTTCAGGTGCATGTTGCAAGCATCCCCTGCTACTACTCCCGTGTGTCGGACGCTGTCGGAACCTTTTTTTGCAGTGACCTATGCATGTATGAATGCGCTTTTTTAGATTCTGTTGGTCATACAAATTAAATATTAGACCCGCTTGCAAAGACCTGAGAAGATTGAACAGAACGATTTCATTTTGTCTTGTTTTAAAGCCCTGTCAGTGTCAGACGAAAGTAAACAATAATAATATTATGCTAAAATTTAATGCTTTTCATTTTCAGCAGCTGTAAATGAACGGTCTAATCAAAAGATCTATCTATCAAGGAAAAAAGTAAAAATCTGGGAACTTGATTTAGCGGAAATGCTGTCACAGAAAGCGAAAGTACAGAGGTCAAAGATCTCGCCAGCCTTGGCCTTGAGCAGTGAGCGAGCAGAGAGAGACGAGAGAGTGTTTGGAAACGTGGAACGTCTTCTTGGACTGGTTGTCGACTTTGTGTTAATTTAATTTGCTGACTGGTTTTTCATTTGCTATGGCTAGCACAATGCCGGTGAGTACTTTTTCTGTTAGATGAAGACTTGGGTTTATCTTCACAGAAAGAGTCCAACCGGAGAGCCAATGCCAATGCGGTTTCAGATCTAACCGCTCAACAACAATAATAATATTATGGACATGATCTTTTCTATTCGTCTGCTAATCTAGAATCTAGATATCTATCTAGATCTAGACTCTACAAGAAAAATGCAGGGAGCAACAACTGCCATTACATACTGCGTTCGTCGGTCTGACAAAGGCTTTTGATTCAGTCAGTTCAGGACTCTACATGGTGCTTGGACTTGGAAAAATAAAATTGGCTGTCCTCAAATACTGCTACAGCTCATCATCTCATTCCACGAATTAAAGATATGAAGGCCACCATTCAGTTTCAGTTTGACGGTTCCACATCAAACAGCTTCAACATCAATAGCGAAGTAAAGCAAGGTTGTGTCTTAGCACCAACCCTTTTTAGCTCTTATTTTGCTGTCTTACTGCAACACGCATTCCATGAGTCACCTGGGATGTCTTCCTACTTCCTCCACTGGAGAACTGATGGGTCGCTCTTCAATCTTGCTCGACTCAAGGCTAAGACCAAGATCAACAATAACAACAATACGAGACCATCTCTTCGCAGATGATGCTGTTCTTGTTGCTCACAGTGAATCAACCCTACAAACAATGATGGACCGCCTATCAACAGCATGCAAGGTCTTTAGCTTAGTCATCATGCAGTGATTAAGAAAACAGTCATCCTTACCCAAGAAGGTGCAGAGCAGAGCCAGATATTTATCAATGTCCCTTTGCTTGCCAGCTCTGTTAACAGGGTTCAGGGTTTACAGAAATACCCACCTTGCCATCAATCAGAAGTCCCATCATTATCTTTGCCATTCATTATAATATAATTGTCACCATAATCACCCCAACCACATGTATCATCATTGTGTTCCCTTCTGTGTCATGACACAATGTTATCAGGTGCTCGTCAGTTTTGGGGCATAATGGAGTTATTCAGTATAAAATCTGAAAGCTAGTCCACTTGCTTTGCTTTCGATGAAGAAATTACCATTATATTGAATAGATATTTCTGATTGAAGGAGGTAGGGATCGTGTGGTGTCAGAAATAAAATTAACGCGAAAATGGCTGCCAAAGTTTGGTGACTTACAAAGCTGTCGCTATTAGCAACAACAAATTTACATTTTTTGTACTTTGGATCAACGTTTTTAGATAAATCTCATGCTGAATGTGTGTGTTTTTAAAGGGACAAGAAAGGTTTTGAGCCCAAAGCAAAAAAAAAATTAATAAAAATCGCCAAACGGGCAGAAAAGTGATGATTTCTTTAATTTTATTTTACCAGTGCCTGATTTCACTGCAATGTATCGTCCATCCTATTGTCTGGGTATTCTTTGAATTACAGAGTATTTCCCTTAACAACTGGAGCTGTTCTTTGAAATCTTTGGGTATTTAATTCCTCTCTTTACCCTATTTGATGCTATGACTTGCTGGCTTTTTCTGTTTAAAAAAGATAATTATTATAATCAGTATTATTTTATAATTATGTTTTAGTTTATGAACTGGACTCCTGGGAGAAATTCCACCTGGTCCACCCTATTTTAGAAGTAATTAAAACAAGTACAGACAATGTATAAGGTGTCAAGGTGTCATTTTTAAGGCTAATATGAATACAAGCTCTATACTGCAGATTTAAAAATGCCTGAACATATAAATAAAAAAATTGTTTTGTCTGTTGACCGCTATTTATAATACAATTAAAGTTTGCAAGCGCAAAGCGTGGTCTGTATTTGTGGTTTTTAAGGTTTATCAGTGATGATGACATGGTGTGAGACAAGAAATTAAAGTGATTTAGTATTTATTTAGTGTTTAGGTACCGGCACCAAGGACTTTCTGTTGTTTGACCATTAAATGTACACTTGTAGGTGTCAGGTGCATATATCCTGACTACTATCTTAGTTATCTTTAATTAAAATGAATGACAGTGCGTTTTTACAACCTTTTACTTGATCAGTGGTGACTCTTTTACTTCTTGTTACGAAATATCCTGACTTCTTTTGCACATGTTTTTGAATGAATAGCACTGTAATTAATGAGGAATAAAAAGATGTCATGGGGTAAAAGAATAATTAGGAACTGAATTTGTCATATTTAAACTCTTTCTAATGGCAGTATTTTTTCTTCTGCTTTATCTAGGGAGGAGTGCGAACTGAAAGTGACAGTTTTGGACCTATTGATGTACCTACGGACAAGTATTATGGAGCAAATACAGCTCGTTCACTCATTAATTTCAATATTGGAGGACCCAGTGAAAGAATGCCAGTGAGTTTACCAGACTTGGTACACATTTGTATGACTTAAAATTGATATAAATGCAATTGAACCTGCCATAGCATCCACCTTTCTAAGACAATCACCCGTACAATTGACTGCTTCCCATTTCCCCTTTGTGTGTTTTTGATACTATAATAATAATGACACTGTCCAAGACTTCCACCTGTCTAAGACATCGTCTTGGACACTTTTGAATGTATACCACAAATAACACAATGCTGCTTGTAACGGCGAATTTGGGAGGTGGATTATGTATCTCAGATGTTTTCTTTCTTATAGACATTTTTTGTTTGTTTTTCTTGAATTAAATGAAAATTGTTTCGGTTTACATACACGGAAGCTACCATTTTGATCAATTGGAACCATAATAATTCAAACGAAGCAGGGGAAGGCCCAGAACAACATACTTGGGGAACCTAAACAAATGGGTAACAGGGAAAGATCAGGGAAAAGTAGCTTTTTTGAGAGCATCATCGGAGCAAAGGAATGAATGGAGAACCATGATCGCCGATGTTTGTCGCAGATCTGGCACTGGATGATGATGATAGATGCCATTGCGGAAATAGATTTTGAGATGTTATCCGTTGTTGCCAACAGAAAGGTAGAAAGGACAGTTATTTTAGGGCTCAATTTTTGTGCAACTTTTGTAGGGATGGTTTTTTAATTTAACAATAAAAAAAGAATGGTCCCCACGTAATTCTTCATGGAGAAAGAAACTACTTCCAAGGGTGGTTCATGGGTGCTCTGGTGTGTTTTGTGCCTTCTTTCTTCTCGAACATATCATCTTTATCTATCCTCCTTTTCTTTGTATGTTACTCTCTAGCGCCATTAATACCTTTAATCTTTGGCTCTTATATGACCATTTCATGTTGCAATTGTTGTAAAACTTTTACTAAAACTAAAAAAACCTAAAACTAAACAACTTTCCCCCCAACCTTTAAAAACAACCTTATTGTTCATGATGAGAAACAATGTGTTTAGATATTTTAAAAATTGTTCTTAACAGGCTTGATGTCTTCAGCATTGACTGAGCATTCACAATGTCTGTTTTATTGCAGATTGCTGTGATCCACGCCTTTGGTATCATCAAACGCTGTGCTGCTCAAATAAATGTGGAGTATGGACTTAAGCCAGATGTTGCTGATCTTATCATCAAAGCAGCTGATGAGGTTTACATTTCTTTCTTTGATGACTCTGTCTTTCTTACTCATATAAAAGCATTCTTTCAAGGTCTTTTTTTTGTTAAGTGAGCTTGCTAATCTTCACCCAGCAGCTTTTTAGTTAGGCAGGTTTCCTTTGGCTTTTGGACTGATGCCATGCTGTGGAAGATGAAAGTCTTGATATCTTTATTGGAAATTATGCTCTAGGAACGTAGCATGGGAAACTTCTCACTTCTCTGAAAGGAGCGGAGTGGGGGTTGGGGGGGGGGGAGGAGGAATGTCTACTAACACCCCTTAAAAATTATTTTTTGACAATTCAAAGAAAACTAAGTTTAAAATGATTCTTGTGTATTTCATCATTGATGCAATATAGCACAGCAGCACTTTTGTGATTATGCCTGGTCTTAGAAATATAAGAAAATTACTATTTATATATTTGTTTGGTCACTAGTGTAGTGCAGTTGTTTTTTTGACAATAATATTCAAAAAAATTAAATTGTTATTTTGTTTCTTGATTAGGTGTCCTTATGATTGAGCTCTTGAAAGTTGATTGTGTCAGTGCAATTTTGTGGTTTATGTATGTATGACACATGCACAGAGACACATGCTCAGACACACACAAACATTCATAAACACACACTTGCACATATGTTTATATAAATATCGACAATCTACAATTCCAGGTGATATCAGGAAAGTTGGATGACAGCTTCCCTTTGGTTATCTGGCAGACAGGCTCTGGCACACAAAGCAATATGAACACCAACGAGGTCATCAGCAACAGAGCTATTGAGATGGCGGGGGGAGAGATGGGCTCAAAGACACCAGTTCATCCTAATGACCATGTTAATATGGGACAGGTAAAGAGAGCAGAGGCTCATTTTAAGGAAATTTCTATTCATTGCATTAGTGGTTGTTTGTCATAGCATTTAGTGTTTTTTCTGTTCTTTTTTTATAATGTCTTTCTTTACTTTCTCTATTTGTCTTCTAGTTTTCAGTTTTCAAGTGCCCTTAATCTGATGAAGTGAGAACATTTTTGTATGTTTATATGTGAATTTTGCTTTGTATTCAAGATGTGTGTGGGAGAGATTGTTAAAAGTTACTGTACCATGTGAAAAGCAAGGGAAATGTTTTACATACTTTTGTTGCACATTGCTCTCAGGTATTCTTCAGGTCTGAACAGCTCATTGAAACTTACTAGCATTTACAGATTATGCTGCTGTAATTTGTTATATTTGTTTTAGTTTGAGTAGAGGTTTTACAACGTTCGCAACTGTATAAGGTCATATGAGTGCCAAGGGATGGATGTCAATAGAGAAGTACTTACAGGGATTCGGGCTTACTCTGCTCACCCCTCTAGCTTCAACAGAACAAAGTCTGTTTCAACTATCAAGGCACCCCGGAAATAGTGGGTCACAAGATTGTGACAAACATACAAAAGAAGTAGAGGAAAAATGACTATAGTAAGGATTAGAAAAAAAAAAAAAGCAGCTGTTCCCTGTTGCAGTTCAGGCACAGTTATGAGCATGACATTGATGAATCAGCCCATTTATAATTTACAACTCTACTGTGCATAAGAACATATTAATGTCCCTCCTTTGGGAACGGCCTAAAGACACTTCAGTCAGTAGC